AATTGGTGGCTGACTAAATACTTTTTTCCCCACTGTATATATATATATATATATATATATATATATATATATATATAATATTTTACAATAATTTTAGTGAGTGCAACTGTAGGTATCATCTTAACTTTTCCATTTTTTTTACTTGAATTTTGTCTGAAAAAGACGAACTTTCTACATTAGTAAGAATGACTACTACTACCTACCTCAATATATTTAGATTTTATTTAGATTATTCATTTTTTATATTACTATTATATTAAATACTAAAAAAAGTAATTTTTTTCCCCGTTTATTCCTTTTTATTTAAATTTTGTCTGGAAAAATTCATTTTATGAGTGAAAAAAAGTGACCTGATCATCCTGTTATTCTCTATGCATATACACAAAAATGAACATGCTGTGCACAGTATACATACTAGATATTGCAGAAGTAAGTATGTTTGAATGCTTCTTTGAACAGAGCCATGCATTTTGTAATGCGTATATATTACAAATTATAATAAATTCATCTGAATGTGTAAAGAAAAACCTTTTTGTAGTTTCCAAATTTATTAGCCATAACTACATTGTTTTTTTTGGTCGTTTTCTAGCTGCTAGCTCAACCACTGGGCCTGATCATCGAGCAACAGAGAAGGATCCGACCAAAACGTCTAGTAAAAGTCCATCATCCTGGAGTATAGAGGAAGTGATGCAATTTGTGCGTGATGCTGATCCACAAGCACTGGGCCCACATGCAGAGCTATTCAGGAAACACGTGAGATACGATTTTCTGGATTTCTCGTGTTTTTTTGCACTTTTTCAGAACAAGATTTACGAGTAGATTTTTTAACAGATTGATTGTTTTGCTTTTCCACAGGAGATTGATGGCAAGGCCTTGATGCTTTTACGGAGTGACATGATCATGAAGTACATGGGGCTGAAACTGGGTCCTGCTCTTAAACTTTGCCATCACATTGAGAGACTCAAACAGGCAAAATAGTAGCTGGATCCACTAGAGGGCAAAGGAGGAAAACGCAGGTTCTCTACATTTCAGAGTCAAACCACAGACTTCACTCAAGATACATGGATATTTATTATGTGTGACATTGATGGTCAGAGGTCCAACATATTGACCTACTTCAGCTGTACTCATTCCTGCTGGTTCAAATGGTGGGGGAAAAAACTGACCAGCCAAATATTTTCATTTTTGTGGCAAATGCAAAAATTAACAGCACCAGATTGACTTTTCAAAATGACCTAACTTTGCATGGACATTGTATACAACCATTGTGTACAAGAATGTTCACTGGCTCTCATCTAGGGAAAAAAATTCAGTGTAAAACTGCAGCTACAGACCTCAGTACCTCAGCGATACGATGCTCTGCGTTTACAGACAATGGTAGAAAGCTGAATTCCAAAGGATTTCACTGTGTTGTTTATGTATTGTTTCTGGTACTGGACAAAATGTTCATTTTCCACTGTATTTCACACTTTGTTTACGTCTGATGAAGATGTATTTGAAATACACTATGGACATTGACTATGAAGGGTTTTGGTGCCAGTTAATCAAATTTCACCATTTGGCATAGTGTTTATTTAATTGGAGTTATTTTCAGTTGTTGTTTTTTTTTCTTTCCTGTGACATGAATGGAAATACACAATCATATTTCAAAATGTTCTGCTGTTTCATAAAGTAACAGAGAAAAATAAAAATGTGATATTTAATTTGTGTGATAAACCAAAAATGGCTTTATGGTCTATAAAAGGCACCAATTTTAAAAGCACAAAATTTTACTTCTGACTGTTAGTGAAAACTTCATTACTATTGCTGTTTATCTCAAGATAATTACTCAGGACTCCTGTACAATATGTTTTCATTTATTCATATTTTGTTAAAACAGGCATGATGTCTTTTCCCTCTAAAAACTGACTATATTAATGTCCACACCAGCACTTCAGGTGACCCATGAAGTGGACATAATGTCACATGGTCCTGAAATTCAGAGGTTTATCTGCATGCTGAATGATGTACAGAGCATGCAGCAATCCCGGATATGTATGTGGTTCTTTTTATGTGTGTATTATACAAATGTGTATTTAGTTCAGTATTCTGTCCTTCAGTGCATTTTTTTTTTTAATTGTTAGAAAGTGTCGCCTTTTTTGTTTATATCATTGATAATGGATTTTGTGTCTTAGGGGATGGAGCTTTTTGTTATGATTCACATTTATATACATACATTTTTAGCTCCTTTTAGATACACTGTATTTACTTTGCTCTTATACTCAGGTTGAAATAGTTTGTATTTACTTCCTTGAACACTTTTCTACTATTTGAATAAATAACTGCATTTATAAAGTTGTCATTTTCACCATATTTTCAGTGGAAAGGTGCATTACCTCATTAAATATGCTTAGTAAAAAAAACTTGACATATATATATATATATA